CGACTGTAAGTTGGAAGGCACGCCCATGAGCCTTCGGAGGCTCTGCCTTAACTGGCCTCCCATCTGCAATCCTCAATGTAGTCGGTGCTGGAACCTGCGCCGGATTGGCGGCTAATAAAGGGCACTGGGCCTTCACATGGCCCACCTGCTCACAATGATAACAAAGTCGGACTCCGGGAGCCGGAGTCTGCTGCCTGCAATCCCTGGCCAGATGGACCTGTTTGCCTCATCGGTGGCACCCACTCCCTGATCAGCACATCCCTGAATGAGCCTTTCCGCACTTCCCACAAGTGCGACCTGACTATCCTCTGGTCCTGGTATCAGCGGTCTTAGACCGCTTCGGCGCCGGCTGCGACTGCGTCGGGGCCTGCCGATGCTCCCTCAACTGCAGCTCAATCTCCAACTCACGCCGCCTAGCGGCCTCTTGTAAATCCAGTAGAGTGTCACATTGCTGTGTGGCAACAAACTAACGAATGTCAGTCTTGAGCATGCTCAGATAACGTGTCATCTGGGCCTACTCCGAGGCAAACTCCGGGCAGAACATCACCCTCTCAGTGAAAATGCGGGTGATCTTCGTCACCGACTCTCCATCCTGTCTCAAACTCAAAAACTCCTGAGCCAACCGTTCCCGCTCAACCCGAGGAATGTATCGAGCGCGAAACATATCCCTGAACTGCTCCCATGTAACAGCAGCTCTCTGATCATCAGTGTACGACCCTGTCGTCAATCTCCACCATTCCTTGGCCCCGAGCCTCAACAGGCTCAGGGCACATCTGACCCTCTGGTCAGTGGGACACGAGCAAGTGAAGAAGCATCCCTCCACATCAGAAATCCACCTCATGGCTTTGATCTGATCCTGAGTCCCATCAAAAGTTGGGGGCTTCGTGTTATCGAAGTCCCTGTACTGGAAAGCCCGACTGGCTCCTCCTCCTCCTGCCGCTGTTATAGCCGATGTAGCTGCTACGACAGCCGTCTCATCAAGGGTTGCGTATTTGTCATCGAAGTACTCCCTCATAGCGGACTTGATAGTCCCAAACAACTCCGGAATCTGACCCCGGACAATCTCGACCACCTCATCGCGGATGATCTCCCTGACATGATCCTCTGTCAACACTGTTGGCCCCTCCTGGCCGATAATCTCGGGCTCTGTAGGAGTGCCCTGATCACCCTGACCTGATCCCGACCCGGATCCAGTCACAAAACGCCTCGTAACCGCCATACTGAAAAATATAACAGGAAGATATCAGAAAATCCGCATAAATAACGGGGAACCAACTCCCAACTAAACCCTAGGGTTGTGACTTCCTTGCTACGCGTATGGGTCCTGTGCTTTCAGTAGTACGAGCCAATACTACCTTCCACGCCTACCCATATTTGTCTCAAGCATCATCACAACACCCTAACAATATACGTTCACATGGTGGTCGCTCATTCCTCACTCCTAGAGGAAGGGTAACTGTCTCACATCGACCTACCGGCCTTACACAACTCACTCATCCATGAACTTCCACCAACCCTGCAGCACTAGTGTACACTAACCATACATAACGCTGGACCCTATAGACTTTCGAATATCTGATCCTACCCTAAGCCCTAATAAATAAGAACAGAACATAAGGCCAAATCAAGCATTCTCAGGCTATAAGATCTTAATTATGTACAGTCGTGATGCATACACAAGTAACTACAGTAATGATGTCAATCTCATAAAAAGGAAACCCTAGGATAGCAGGCATCATGTAATCATGCAATTCATGTAGATCCCTAGCCTAGTACTAGCATGCTGTTCTAACACATCACATAATCAAAGAACTGTAGGGTATTTTGGGGGTCTACTTGCTGGCTCTGGCTGATCGTACACCCTGCATCCTCTTTTACTTATTTTGAAAACCATTTTGAAATCATTTTGAAAATATTTCCTTAATTTGAGACTGGATTCACACGAATGTTCCTCCAATTCACTCAAACCAAGGCTTTGATACCAACTTGTAACACCCATAAAATTCAGGCCAATTTACAACTTTTCAAAACATTTAAAACCAGCAGTTATTACAAATTTGTTTTCAAAATAGTCTAATATCAGAGTTCATCACAGAAACATAAATAAAACATGAGGAGTTGTACGGTCACGCCTTCGCCTTGACGCGGTCCCCTGATGTACGTGAAACAATAAACTGAAATTGTAAGCCCGAAAGCTTAGTGAGTTCCCCAAAATACCCATACCCACAACAATACACATATAATCATAAACATCATACTATGGGTCTAGTCAACCATCGGGTTAGAATAACATAGGCCCTCAACCATCCAGTTGGAATGCCAACATACTATCGGTCCAATCAACCTTGGGATGGAATACCCCAGGCCCACAACCAACAGGTTGGAATGCCCATATATTATGAGTCCAATCATCCTCAGGATGGAATACTCACGGACCACAACCAACAGGTTGGAATGCCCAGGTCTATTGGCTTCGCACAAAGCAGATAAGTCTCAACTGCCAAACAAACATGTGCACATATAACAGATAATCACATAGCGGTCTATAGACACCAACTGATCTAACGGATCATACCCCATAACACATAATATCATCCTATTTACAAGGATACCGATCTAACAGATCATACCACATACTACATAATACTATCCTACCTACTAGGATACCAATCTAACAGATCATACTAGCATAACATACCCATATAACAATCCAAAGGGCCGACCTTGGTGCCTTAGACCCTTGACTATAGTGAGGATGACTCACCTCATAAGGAGTGCTGAAATACCGAACCTCTGACTGTTGTCTCACCGGAATCCCGAACTATTACATAATAAAACTAAATCAATACCCAAAATAACTTCTTGACTAAGTGTCTACATAACTCATTAATCCATTCTCTTTATTGGTCCAAGGCCTAACACCAAGTCCTTAACTTGAAGGTCCACATATATATCAAGCCCATTATTGGCTCAATTTACTAAATTGGGCCCAACCTCCTAATTGGGCCTAACCCCATGATCCACTATCACTACCTGGCCCAAAACATCTTATTCACAGAGTCCAGCAAGGGCCCAAATACATTTAGTCCATAAACAGCCCAAAACCCGAAGCCCATTTGACAAAGGCCCAACAGAGGACGTACATGAGGGGTACTCCTCTGGTACGCGGGGCGTACCCGACCAGGTGTTGACCACCATCGGGGTGGTTGATCCAGTACGCTGGGCGTACTCAACAGTTTGCCAAAACCTGATTAAGTGCTTAATGGCTTAAGCACTTAAGCCCAAACTTTAGATCTAGAGACCTAACATGCCTAAGATCCATATAGTCATGAACTTTATCGCTATTGACGTCCATAAAGTTCTTAATTCTTGGTCTTAATCCATTAAGACCTTACTTTTCCATGCATGGGACACATTCAGCTAATGGGACCTCATTTTTATCACTCAAGGTCCCCTCAAGAGCCTAGAACGACAGTCCTTTTTTTCCAAAACACGACATGCACCATTTTGTGGTTTTTAGGACAAGAAATGGGTCTTTCAAAGCAAAATGGAGAGATCTAATCATACATGCATAAAGTTTGGAACTTTATACCTTCTGGAGTTTCTTGAGCATAAACTAACTTCAAATCTACAAGCCTGGTCTCTTCCTCCAACTCTTGATGCAATGGTTTTCCTCTTCAAGCACTCAAGAATACACCAAATGAGCTTAAACATACAAAGGGGAGGCTAGGGTTTGGGAGGGACGAGTATGATCTGTGGAGGCTGAGGTAAGGGAGGCTTTGGTGCACTTTATGTTGCTTATATAGGCCTCAAACCCTAAATATTAGGGTTTCACCCTGACATTAGTACGCCCAACGTACACAAGTGTACGCCCAGCGTACTAAGGCGGACCTTAATACGCTTAGTGTACTCTTATGTACGCGCAACGTATACCCTCTTGGCCCAAGTTTGCAAACTTGGCCCTTAAACTTCTCTTGGCTCTTCACTTCCAACCCCAAGGGCTTTAAATGACAAGGTAATGATAAAAGAGGGTTCGGAAATACCTACAAATTATCGGGATGTTACATTATCAGTGATAAGGATGTCATTTTATATTAGACGAAGACCGAAACCAACCAAAACGGCTTACACACTTAGGTTGGAGGGAGTGACCCTCGCCACCAGCTTGCCAAGGACGCCAAGACCACCCTGCATTAAACATGCTAAAAGCCTCCCAAAGGGAGTTGTGCTATCCGTAATCCGTGTAGCGAGAAGAAAGAGAAGAATAATGGTTGTGATTGGCCGTTTTTTTCTTTATTTATTTATTTATTTCCAAAATAAAACTTATCGGAATAATTACCATTTTTTAACTTCATGAAAACTACCACTCGCTCCATCCTATGTTGTTCAAAAAATCAGATGTGGCAGCATGCTAAACATTCTACCACTCTCTCCAGCCTTATAGACGAAATTGTGATAAAAAATTATTTTGAACTGAAATCGTTATATTTTGTAAAATACAATGACCATTTTTGCATACTACTCTAAATTTTATATTCATATTTAATATAATCATTTATAAGAAATATAAAAAATAAAATCCAATCTAATAATATCAAACAATGATGATCTATTACCTCACTAATATTTAGCATATCCCCAAATAAGTCGACCAAATCAACGAAAAAGTACAATTCAATTCCAATCATGACCCTTATTCAACAACAAAGTTAAAAGTGATGACACTAGCCGTCCTCTCCAAATCCAATGTTACAACTTGCAACATAAAATCATGTGCTTAAAATCCCACTATGCATTAATCTCCTTCTAAGAAACCACCGTTTTCCTTAATTAATTTATAATTACTTTTCTATAGAATTATCCGTATAAGGTGCATGAACCATTCCCAATTCTTCAACCTATATAAACCTCTTCTCAATTATCAACAGAAAAACAGTATCAGATTTTGCTCAGATTACACCCGAACGTAAACTATTTGATTCCATTTTGTTTAAAGATTGATGGGAAATAATGGTTTTGATTCCGATTTTGCTCTTCTTGAGTCCATTCGCCGTCATCTGTTAGATGATTCCGCCATGAATTCCGACAGTGGAGCTCCACCGATGTATTGCCGGACTAACACCTTGCTTCCTTGCTTTTCCGACACCTGGGGTGAATTACCCTTGAAACAGAATGATTCTGACGACATGTTAATAGCTCGGTTTCTTCACGAAGCGTTGGATTTTGAATGCCTCCCGTCGCCGGCAATGACAATGGTACCGATTACAGCCACTGTTAAGTCTGAGCCTGAGAATTTTGTGGGATCGCCGGTGATGTCCAGTTATCAAGCGGAATCGCCGCTGGAAACTGCGGGAGTGGATGGTGTGAACCAGCAGAGAGGGAAACATTACAGAGGTGTGCGGCGACGGCCATGGGGTAAGTTCGCGGCGGAGATTCGGGATCCGGCGAAGAACGGTGCTCGGGTGTGGCTGGGGACATTTGAGACGGCGGAGGACGCGGCGTTTGCTTATGACAGGGCAGCATATAGGATGCGTGGTTCTCGTGCTTTACTAAATTTCCCACTCCGAATTAATTCCGGCGAGCCGGAGCCAGTAAGGATAACCTCAAAACGGAAGGCAACATCGCCGGCGAGCTCATCGGAAGATGGATCGCCAAACAGGACAAAGAAGGTGGCAACAGATCTACGTGGCAGATAGTTAGCAGTTGGTTGTTGCTGACTTGGACTGTTGTTCGATTTTTTTTTTTTTATCGCGTGTAAATGGCTGTGTTTTGTGCGTAAATGACAAATTTATTCTTTCATTAATAATTAATTAAAGGAACTCCAATTATTAACGAAAATTCATGAACGGATTTACATATTTATACAAAACCGTTTTAATTCATATATAACAGTTTATTCTGTTTATAAAATAAAATATACAAATTCTCGTATATAAAGAAACACTGTTCACTTGAACACTGTTATATTTATACAACAGGTCTATTTCCATAACCTCAACATATTTAAGAACATTAAACATGATTGTTATTTTTTCATTTGAATTTACAAAGTTTGTTTTTCAAAACATAAAATAATATTAAGATATATAACGGTCGATGCTTGCAAGTTGTATGTATGAAAAGTGAAAAATATTCTGAAAATTGTGGTGTATGAGTTTGGAAAATTTTGACTCACGACTTCAATTAGAGTTTAAATGTATGAAAACGTGGGTGATATCGAGCATGACTTCTGTCAGATATTAGAAACAATTATTTTTATTTTTAATTGTTTTATAAAATGTTGCGTAAATATCAAGGAACAAACGTAGGGTTTCTAGAAGATGACGACAGATAAGGTAAATCTTAATAATTATTAAAAAAAAAGTTATTCGAATATTTAATTTTCATTCGTTCATTAGAGGATTTTGAAATAAATAAATAAATAAATAAAAATAACCGGCGACTTGTAGGCCCACGTGCAAGTAGTAAATGCTCACGAACGAATGGATATGGGGCCAAGACTTCTATTATTTTTGACTTTTGCTTTGACAAATATAAAAATAAAATTAATATTTGGATTCATACTAAGAAATTATTTAGAGAATAAGGCGTTTGTTTGTTTTTGTCTGCAGATTTTTTTGGTCTCTTCTGTCCGTGCTGTGCAGACCACGTGCAGATATTAGGTTTTGTAGACTGTTTATTTTTTTGAAGACTGCTGACCAAAAAAGGTCTGTGCGTCCTCTTTTTGGCGCAGATATAGACCAGAGTCTTAAAACATCTTCAGACATTTTCTAACCTAAAAAAGCATATACTTTTTTTTTAAACTTACATTTTTTCCAAGTTTATCTATGATAAATAAATTGAAAAAAAATGTTACAATACTTAAAGAAAAAAAAGGTTGGATAACACAATCATAACCTTTTTGACAAATTAATAAATAAATATCTAATTACAATAATAATTTGTAGAGTTGTTTATATAAATATGCAAAAATAAAAAAATATATAATATTTTCTTATATTTTTTGTACCAAATTTTATAAAACATTATTTAATGCAACATCGTTCATGTCTTATGAAAATATTTATGGTTATTTTTTAATTGATTTAATTGAAAAAGTAAAATAAAACTTTGAAAATTTTCATTTAAAATCAAAGTTTATTTCCATTCATGTTATGTGTTATTTATCCCTAATTATAATATTTATGTATAACTTTACGACCAAAGTTTGTTAGTTTTTATCAAATATATACCATACTTCTTACCATTTTATTTTCACTTTTTATACAATAATGCCTAAAAGTTAATTTACATTTATGAATTATCTATAATAAAGTCATAAAATTATAATAATAATAAAAAACTCTTTTAAGTTATTTTTAATCAGTTTAATTAGATTTTAGTTTATTCTAACACCCTGCAGATGTTAAAAAACAAACAGTATTCTTCTTTCAGACTGTAGAGGTTTGGTCCACCTCTTTTATTACAGAGGTTTGCAAATATGATCCGCAGACTGCAAACATTTTGACTCAAAAAAACAAACAATACCTAAAATTCTTCATTTTGTATAGAGATTCTTGAATTGGTATTCAACTTCAACTATAATATAGAAAATACATTTTTATTAGTTTTATTGGTTCTCCTTCTTATTTTTGATGAAGATAATGAGTATTTTTATTGAATGATAAAAAAGGGTTTCAATCCCCTTGAGGAATGATTTGGAATATCATCTCTAATTGTTAAACCATAGTTGGCCTAGATGGTGGGTGACATGGTCAACCGTCTAAGGTCCAACACTTTAATTTAGGGGTAAGTCAACAATTACTCTTTTTTATGAAAAAAAATAAAATAGATTACAAGAAGCAAAAAGAAGCTAAATTCAAATGCCCAATTTGATACATTAGTGAAAGTGGATGAAGCAAAGCAAGATTATGATTATCGTTGTTCTTTAGAAAGTGGGTAGGTGGAACCAAAAATGGAAAAATCGAATTGAAAAATAATTAACCTACGATCCATGAAGCAATCAATCAACAACCGAATAGATAAACAACATACCAATGGATTAATCGATTAGGTTGTCTTAACTCCCAAGTCTTAAAGGTCATAAATTACAATCTCATTACATACAGATAAAATAATCTTATTAACTTTTTTTTTTCATTATAGCATCTATAAATATAAGATTTTTAAAGTTATAGTTATTAGATAATTACTTAAGGTCATCGATTCATAAGAAATATTAAATGTTCAACTAATTTATATATAAAAAGACGTGTTAGATAATATTAATTTTGACACTATTACTAATGATCTGAAAAATCTAATAGTATTAATTTTTTAATAAATTAATGGATTTTTATAAATTGTTTGACTATATTTATATATTTGATAGTATTATTAATATTTTTGCATCTATAAAGCTAGAAATATATTTCTTTAAATTTGCATATTTTTTTTAAATAGTTTGGCTACACTTATGTTTTTTAGGGATATTTTATTTCCACTCGCCGGAGGCACAAAATATGTGTGGACCGACTAGGTTATGTTATAACTTGAAAAAGTTTGTCAATCCATTACTCTACTTACTTTAACATTTAATTAAATGATCTTTCTAATGGTTAACGTCTTCCAATAAATTTTTAAATTTTTTTTTAACTAATCTATCATCATCTATCTAAAATGTTCTATAAAATTTCTTTATTTAACTAGTTGTCTTTTAAACATAAATAATATCTAAAATGTCACAAACAAACAAAAATATAAATACAACTACGTCGGGTCTTCATTTTATATACATAAAATCCAAAAAAATATTAGGTCATAGTTATAAAAATAAAAAATGATTGAAAATATTATATAATCAATATAAAATATATATTTTATAAATGAATTATCATTAAATATTTAATAAAAATAATTAATTAGTAAAAAAATAACAAATATTTTGTAACATCCTGAATATAAAGGTAGAACTTTTCATTTAAAATAATTAGGTGTTTGATAAATAAATAAATAAAACAATTTGAATAACAAAAATTAATCATATTTTCAGTAATGTAAAAGCTTAGAAGATTAAATGTTGGCATTACAACATTTGGATGTTAATAACTAAATGTGTCAAAGCGGGTAAAAGTGTGTTTGACCAAATGGTTGACTCACTTAAATAACTTTTGGGCTGTTAGTTCTTGAAATAGATAGAGAGGAACTAAAAGAGTTAACTCCTAAAGTTAAAAATTATTAGTATTTGGAATGATACCATTATTGTAAAATTATGAGGAAGTGAGGGTAGAAATCAAAAAATTGTGACAACCGTCAAATTCAAGTCAAAGTCAAAGTCAACAAGTCAAAGTCAAAGTCAACAAGTCAAACC